TGACACTGCCTTCTTTAGCAATGTTTTTTCAACTCCCCAATTTAGCCTACAGTGCTGGGATTTTCTGGTAATTTTCATTCATGTATCAACCACGTATGACCCTGCATAGCCTTTTTCTAGATTTTGATAGTCCATAGGACTTGTGTTTGACTCAGAATAGCAATATCATATTTGAGAACTAAGCAGGTAAATAAACTGAAGAGAAACTAGTTAATCCTTTATTAAAGGATATTTTGACCGATGGTTACAAATCTACTGAATTTCTACAGTTGCTTGTATTTTGTTTGTTTTTGTATCATGAGCCTTCTCCAGAAGCTCTATATGGCATATATAATATTCACTCTTCCAATCTTTCCTCTTAACAACTCTGTGAAGTAGGTTGGGTTGAGACAGAGTAATTGATCCAGAGTTATCCAGTGAACTCCCATGGCTAAGAATGATCTTGATTCGGAGTCTCCCAGATCCTGGTCCAAAACCAGAATTACTGTACCACACATTTGTAAATACTTGATAAAATGTAGCCCTAGATGAAACTAAGAACTTTAAAACACACAATATAAGTTAACCTAATATTTCTATTCCACTTTCTATGATATGCATATCCACTTTTTATGAAGTGATGATGACATTAAAAATGATGATCAGAATCTGTATGTAAATTCCAAGTAATGTCCACTTCATTAATTAATTGAATTTGTAATCTCACCCATCCAAAAGTCACATGATAGGAAAATAATAAACACTAAATCTAACACATACTATTCAACTATTTTCTTGCATCCATACATAAACAATTAGTATTTATTTAACCATAGTTTGTTGAATAATAACCAGTATTGCACATAACATTATGCCGCAATGGATATATTTACATTTAGCCCAAAAGAAAGTGCTGTATGGCTTAACAGTAGGCGTGAGCCAGACTAGCATATCAAATTGTTATGTGTTCCTTTATCCTTTTCAGGCTTGCAATCCAATGCATGTCCCATCAGCCTAGTATAATGAAGCAATGTTAATAAGCATACATTTTTAAAAATAATTGTTACATAGCCATAATAGCAATAGCAAGTTTACTTACACGGGATTTTGGTTAGTTCATTCATAAATTTCTCCTTTAACTTTGAAAATGCATCGTCTTTTGCACCCCCCTTTCCTCCTCCAGGAATCACTGGCTCGGTGGCATTATTTGCTACTGCAGTTGCAACAGTGGTGCCTGGTAGTGCTGCTAGTGCCTGGTGTTGACTTTCTTTTGCCATTTTAGTCCCAAGGGAACTGAGATTGAAAACAAAGCAGAGAGAAAAATGTTCAAAAGGTTAAACTTCATCGTAGGTCAACAACAAACTAGAGAGCAGTAACCCCAATTGGTGCACCTGCTTCCCGGATAAATATCACATCATTATTGCATTGCTTCATGTTGGCTCATACAATATTTATTAAACCATTGGGAAAAAGATTCTTCCAGAAGGTAAGAACTGCTTATTCTTATGTCTCGTTCCTGAGTCTAAAACAGTTATTTCTGTTGGATACCTCAATATGGCTGAGCATCTGTTGTTTAAACTTTGGATTCTGCCCTCTCATTTTCAACAGATAAGTAAACCGACAGCAGTTCTATATATACAAACATTTCAGTGCATTTGCATAATTATTTGTACATGTCTCTTGGATTGGAAACTTTCAGAGCACCACTAGAAATGAAAATAGAAAGCAATTACACCAGCTTAATTAAAGCACCTCTACGCTCTCTTGAACTCTTTAACCAGCACGCACTCTACTTAAGCAGAACTGGACATTATTTAGAAAATTTGTTCCATCTTACCCTTGAGTCACATTTATTGAAAGCAAATTTTCTTCCACTGACATTTGCTTCCAACAATATTCAGTTAAATTATTCACTTTTCTCACTGTTAATAGTGTTAAAATCACTGCATCTGTGGGTTGTTTAGCTTCATCCAAATTAGAACTCCCAGACTGTTGAAATAAATTCACAGCTACATTAATGTACTTTTGACAATGTTTGTTTCATGGGCTTTTGAGAAATATCTTTACTTGGACTTAGCATAAAGCAATGCACTTTTATACGGACTATATTAGAACCAACTTGAATACTGCCTGAGGAGTGGCTCGATATTTGTTTTAGCAGACTATTTCAGTCTTAGGCTGTCTCTTAAGTAATGCTGCTTTGAGGACTAATTATTATTTTCTCTCTTTCAGAAAATTATACAGAAAATGGATTTAAGAGATAAGGATAATATATTATTGCTCTGGATATAAAATTGTTAGCACTCTTCCAGAAAGAACTAAGTTTTATGGAGTCCTTGGGGTTCTCTGAGCTTGGTTGTTTTCTTGCAGACGCTTCGTACCTGACCAGGTAACCAAGCGTTCCCTTTAATACCACGGGAGTTATTCAAATGGAAAACTGAATCAAATGATAAACGTTATTTTCTAACTGCAGTCACTATTTTCATGCTTACAACTCATTTCAAAAATGGAGATAAACACTGCAACTGTGGAGCCAATTATTTTTACTCTGTTTAAAATTCATATGGTAGAACTGAAAAAAGCAAATAGTGCAACAGGAAAGAAAGACACTAGTAACAAAGTTTTTTGTTTTTTTTTTTACTTTGGTTTCATGAATGGTGCTGGTGATGGAATAACCCTTTCTTCTTTATTGGTGCATCATTGCCTGCTGTGTTTCCTGGAAGGCGTGTTTTTCCTCCTTTTCTTTTCTTTGATTTGCTAATTGTAAAGATACCACTACCTTGTATCATATATTGTTTGTATTCAAAGTGCATTATATACATTCTTCTGCAATATGCATATGCCTTGGAAGATATATTGGTTGTATTATGTCCAAATAGCTAATGTGGAAGGGCAGGGAACTGTTAAAAATGCAGAAAGAAAGGATCCTAGAATCTTTATCACAATAGAATCACTTACAAATCTTTGGGCATTTTTCTGGTCAAATTGTATGTTTCAGTGAATCCTGAAAGAATGAGAACACAGCATCATGGCCTCATGCTGCAAGCTCCTCCCCTTTTGTTCATGTGTGCAGCATCTTAATACATGTAGCAAAGTGCAGGACTTGTGTGGTGAAGCTGCTTTCATCACTCTGCCCCACTTGCTCCCTCTGTGGCTGCCTCCCTTTCCAATCACTGTGCATGTCTTTAAAAGAAACTTCAAGGGCCTTTCTGAACCCTGTGGACTGTATTTGGACTTTCCCTCTACCCAGTTTGGGGGTAATTCCATTCCTTTGATTTTAAAAACATATCCTTTTTAGGTAGATATAAGAACATCTTCACTTAAGTAGCTTGGTACTTGTGGAAATTTTAGCCCAACCCAAGGGTATTAGTTTTAGCTTTGTGACCTTCATTAAAATTGAATTTGGGTCCCTTGAATAAATCCAGCATATTTTCAAGTGATGATCAAGCGGCAGTAGTAATATCTCTGCAGGCATATTTTAACAACCAGCATTTGACACCAAGTTATATTTTCCTGAACGTGCAGGTGAGATATTAAATTAAAAAGAGCTATTTTCAGAATCTTGTACTTCTTGTTCTTATTGTTTTACATTTCCAAATGTCTTGCATTTCTTGTGGCTTCTTCGGTATTTTTTCTCCCAGTAAAAGAACAGTGGACAATGCCAAAGACTTTTGATAGGTAGCACTAGAAGCCATCCATCTGGAACCACCCAGAGGTAAAAAAATGAGATAAAGAATTTTGCATGTTCAAGTATCTCTCTTTATATAGTTAAAATATGAATGCAAGGGTCTGTTGTCATATAAGAAAATTAATTGTTTCCCCATTTCTAACTACACTTAGTACAAATCTCCCCACAACCAATCTCTACTGTTATATCCTCTGAAGGAAGCCTGGCACACACCCACATGCTATTCTCTGAATGCTTTGTTATTCAGAGCAGTAGATACCATGGAAGAGCATTAGAGATTAAAACATGTATGAGGTACATACAAGCCAGTTGGATTAGATTAGAGAAACTAAATCTCGCTTCCATAGTACTGAGTGTAATATTATATACTGTTCCCCAAAGATCACTTAACCTCCACTATACTGATATCTAAAATTATTCAACTGCATTTCCTCACACTTCTCATTTATTATCTTTTTTATTATCTATATCATTCTTGCTTTGTCTTCCTAATAGAGAACATACTAATTACTTGTGCAGAAATACAGAATTTTATTGTTGAAAGCTGTATTTTAATGTACAGTTATATGAAAAAGAAAGTACATCCTCTTTGAGTTCTATGGTTTTATGTATCAACACTTAATACAAATCATCTGGTCCTTAGCAGTTCTCAAAAGTAGGTAAATACAACCTCAGATGAACAAGAACACATGACATATTACACCAT